AGGCGCGGCGGGAGCGGCGGGCGGAGCGCCGGTGCGGAGGCTGCTGGGACAGCGAGTCCTCCTGCAGGGGCGACTCGGGCAGCGCCGCGGGGCGCGGACTACCCATCCCAGGGACGCCCGCGGCGGGGGCGGGCTCCCTTTGTCCTCCGGCCCTGCTTCCCGCCTCACGGCACCTCCCCTCAGGCGGGCGGCTCCCTCCAGTCACGGGAGCCTCCCGTCCCCAGGGCCGCTCCTGCCCGCTGCCCACCGGGAGGGCCAGCGTCCGGGCGCTGCCGAGGTCCCCGACCCCGCGGTGGGGAGCCAGGCCCTCCGCGGGCCCGACGGGAGTGGGCAAGGCGAGGGGCGGGAGCCGACCGCTGTTTGCTCGGCCTTTTCCCGGGGCTGGCGTTGTGGTGTTGGTTCTTTCTCTTTTGAGGTACTTCAGTGAAAAAGCATCAATTAGCTAGAGGACTGGTACCACATACCCCCTGTAATGAGAGAACGTTTTCGTATGTAAGTGAACTGTATCTCAGCTGGAAGCTTTTCAGCAGAAGTCTTACCTGTCAGATCTCTGGATTGCGTGAGTTCTGAGTTCACACCTGTAAGACAACTCTTCTGGCCCCACAGCCACGTTTGATAAATATCCTGGTTGCAGCACAACGCCTTTGCCTCGGAGGCCCAGGAACAGAGAGAGGAACGCAGGCCTCCTTGCGGGGTGGGGAGGGAAGGAGAAGGGAGTTCAGCCAGGCCCGAGGGGTGACACATCACCCTGCAGAGGGTCAGGGTGAGCCCCCGGGTACCTCACTGGGGAGTCATTCCACCCCGACAGCTCAGCTCCACCTCGCGTCATGGAGACTCAGGAATTTGGCCGTGTAGTTTCATTCTTGGCATCAAGCAAGAGGGCAAAAGTCTCACAAAAAAAGTGTTTATGTTCGTTAATGTGCCTGGTTTGAACACCAAAAAGCTCTCTCGCTAGCCTCACCCATAGACCTAGAGTGGTGACAGTGTCAGGATACTGACATGGAGCTGCTAATGACTGCAGGGAGGAGCAGCAATTAACTTGTTTTGTCAGCTTAATTTAGGGTAAGTCTTTAAAAAGTGTGATCAGCCTGTGGATCAGCATTGCAGGCCCCTCTTGACTTGCAGAAGCTGGCCAGCTGTTTTAGAGCTGGCCCAGAAGCACAGGAGGGGATTCAAATATAGGCTGATGTTCCTCCTTTTTTGGGACCTCTGGGCTGTTTGTTTCAGAGCAACAGGTCCACAGACAGGCAGGAGAGGTTGCGTGGGAATTGTCCTCTGGTCACCACCTAGAAGAGGGTCAGCAGCTGGTCACAAGTTGTGCAGGTCCAGACATGATTGCTCCCTTGAAAGGCAATTATTTCTGTGACTTTCTTGTGTGAGGAGAGGGTTACCAATGTGCCCAAAAGAGCACAAAACCAAATCACTACCCCTGGAGAAACAGGCTTCCCCAACTTCTCCATGGCTGTTGATGGCACGTTTGTGTCCACCACCAACTCCATTTGATTCTCAGACTATATCAACTGGAGAAAAGGAAAACAGAAGCACCTTCTTGTGCTCCTTGCTCCCTTGTTTTTCAGTCATCTCTGTATTCCTAGGATTCGGGGAGGGGGGGGGGGGAATGGCGTTTGGTTTTGTTGTTTTTAAACATTAGCAATTGTGATTACAGAACAATATACTCAACTTGTAGTATGATATATAGACTTGTTGCTTCAGCACCCAGAAGCTACCTGTGCATTGTGCTGAGAGCTGGACCTCCACAGAGGGAAGTTCCTGCCACACAGAGGAGTTCCTGCCTCCAAGAGATCTATGTTTAAAAAAAAAAAAAAGCCAGCTTAGTAAGTCCAAAAGAGGAAATATTTCTGCTAGAGGAGAGCAGCAGGGAGTTAATTACATGCTGGAGTGCCCAGGCCTACAAAATTTCTGTCACTTGCTATTTAGGGTTAAAGCTTTCAGCTGGCCCTGGGAAGCAGGGCTGTGGGAAAGGGAGTTTTGGGCAGGACTGCAGTTTCTCTTGCCTGGCTGGCAGTAGAAGCAGGCAGCTCCTCCTGGGCCTGTTGGGATAGTACAGGGAATTACCTGAAGCAGGTAGGTATGAAAGTGGGTATGGCTGATGGAGCAGGTAGCTCTAGGAGCCAAGCCAGCCTTGTTTGCACCCTTCTAGGCCAGTTCTGACACTGCTGGTTAGCCTCTTCCTTCATTGCAGAATTCTTAAGTTCTTGCCTGTTCTTATGCTTTGCTTCACAAAATTGTAGGAACTTGGTGCTTTGGGGATTCCTACTCCTTTTTCCAAGCTGATTAAAAATGGTCAAAAAATACGAGCAGGAAAGAGTCAAATACGTATACATGTAAGCATGCATGTTTGGTGTCCCTGTGTGCTGTAAGGCTGTCCGTGCCTGGATGCTGGGAGGGGGAAAGAAGGCTGTTATTGTGTTAGGGTTTCTTCTCACAATAGAGAAGAAATAACTTTTTTAAAAGTATTATTTTCAAAGGGATAAGCTGGCTTAGTTATTTTTCCTTGTCCCTTTTCTAGTTCTTTCTGTTAAAGCAGAGAGATAAACACCTAGAATAAAGAAAAACTAGGTTAAAAGCCGGTGACAAAAAAATGTAGCATTTAAACAAGTCTTCTGCTCAGCACCCTTTTCCCCCACTCCCCCAAACTCCACGTCAGTTCTGATAGCCACTTAAAAATAAGCTGTGCTGCAGTCCCCATTCCCAAGTCGAGTTTTACCAGAGCATGAAGCCGGTTCTGTTCCTGTCTGCAGAACTGGAGCCTTTGTCAGAGATAAGTGGGTCAAAATTGCTTAACATTCTCTCTATAAAAAAGTAATTATTTCAGAAAGCTGTTGTATTCTGCTGTCAGTGTGGCATGCATTCTGCTGGCATTCTCCTCTCAAAGCTCCGAGGGCTGGAGCCCTCTGCTGGGAGGGGGGGCTGAGAGAGCTGGGGGGGTTCATCCTGGAGAAGAGAAGGCTCCGGGGAGACCTTAGAGCCCCTTCCAGTCCCTCAAGGGGCTCCAGGAGAGATGGGGAGGGACTCTGGATCAGGGAGGGGAGCCATAGGACAAGGGGGAAGGGTTTGACACTGAAAGAGGGGAGATGGAGCTGAGATGTGGGGAAGAACTTGTTTGGTGTGAGGGTGGTGAGAGTCTGGCCCAGGTTGCCCAGAGAAGCTGTGGCTGCCCCATCCCTGGAGGGGTTCAAGGGCAGGTTGGAGGGGGCTTGGAGCAACCTGGGCTGGTGGGAGGTGTCCCTGCCCAGGGCAGGGGGGTTGAACAGGATGGTCTTTAAGGTCCCTTCTAACCCAAGCCATTCTATGATTCCTCTCTTCTCCTTTTTTTCCATCCAGCACCATCTTCTCCTTTCCTGTTATTGTCAGTGTCACAGAGCATGAAAACAAAAATCCATACTGAGGACTTCTCGCCACTGTCTTTCTGACTTACAGAGAAGGTGCCCTGTATGTTTGGGATGATGTTTCCAGGGAGGTAAGGATGTATTTTATTTTGGTGAAAATGAGGGTGGGCTACAACAGGTGTAATTCTCTTGTAACAGAGAAATCTTGAAGGAAGTATTTACAACTTTTGCCCGATGAGCTGATACAGCTGGCTATGTTTCTGTGAAGTCCAGAGAAGAACATGAATAGTTGTTACAAGAAACTTCAGCTGATGTGTTCTTAAATGTTCCACTAAAGTAACACAGCCTTTGCTGTTTGCTAGGAAGCAATGAGTGAATCATGAGGAGCCCTGCAGCCTGCTCCCCTGCTGTTCCCTGCCTTTCACCAGATGTTGGTGAGAACATGAAACTCTTCAGTGAGACATCTCAAAATTTCTTCCCCGTTTGAAGGTAGAAGTGCTGCAGCTGCATTACTGCATCTCCACCTGTTGCACACTTACTTGGGTCAGACAGAAAGTGGGGGCGGGATTAAAAAGTGTGATAAGACACCTTAAGGAGGGTCAGCCTGGAGCAGTTACTGCTCACAGCCCAGAATGGCAGGGAGTAGACAGCGCCTAGCGCCTCTGCAGCCTTGCCTGCAGCTGGAACTGTTGATGGCCAAAACACCCCACAAAGAAAAGACCTCAAGACCTGTTGCTCTACATCTTAGATCTACATCTTACTGTTCTGTGTCTGCTCTGGCTTATTAAACTCTTCCAAGAAAGTGTCTGTTTGTCGTTGTTTCAAGCACCGTTAGATTTTTCTGTATGAGTTACTCAAAATACCCAGATTCACATTGTTGTGTACCTCTTGAGAGACTTGTTCAGCACTGCTGTCAGGCCGTGCAGGCATCCCTCGGAGAGCTGAGCTGAGCAGAGCACTATGGCATGGCCTGCTGTGAGGTGTCCTCCGGTCCCGGGGACGTTTGGCAGCTCCTCGGTGTTTGACATGAGGACACTGGGGCTGTTGTCCAAATCTGGGGGCTGGGTCAGGGCTTTCCACCCAGATTCCTCCCCTCCCAGGCGGGCAGCGGCTCTGCAGAGCCCCCCCAGCGCCCTCGGCAGACAGACCCTGCTGTCCTGGAGCTCTGAGGGGCTCTGGGGGCCGGCAGGTGGTTGGGTTTTGAAGCAAACCTGGTGTGGTCTTTGTTGGTGCCACCAGGTGGCAGCAGAGCCCCGCGCTCCCTGCTGGGCGACAGCGCCCTCTCCTGCTACCCCCCTCTTGCCCTCTGCCCCCCGGCCCTTCCTCTCTGCCCCGCGCAGCCCTCTGTCCTGCCCCCGCAGCCCTCTCCTGCCCCCGCAGCCCTGTCCTGCCCCCCGCAGCCCTCTCCTGCCCCCGCAGGCCTCTCCTGCTGGGGTGAGGAGCGATGGTCCAAGCCAGCAGCTCCATGCGGGGCACCCGCATCTGAAGCACCCACCTCTGGTTTGCAAAGGAGAAGGGAGTGTCTGGCTGGGGAGCAGGGGAGATGGCAGCCCTGGCACCCTGAGGTTTCCTGCTGCGTGGCCAAGGCCAAGCCTGGTTCAGTTTCTGCTGTCTGCCCTGGGTACAATAATAGCAATTCAGGCACGATGAGGGCAAGACAGCAGAGAGTAAAGTGTGTGTCACGGAGGGTAACGATGACTGTGTGTCCAGATGGAAAGAGCTGCCAAGTGACTGGGTTACAAGGTGGCTGGATGACAGCAGGTCTGGTGTCTCAAGCTTTTCTGTGCTGCTCCATGGGCTCATTATGGGACAGGATTTGTGGCAACCGCTTAGGCATCTGTTACGGTTTAAGAAAAGCCATAACAATTTATTGTCATTTAGACAATTATCCTTTCACCCGATGACCCCTCCCCACCCGGAAAGGGGAATCAGTGAACACAAGGAAACACAAGGGTTGAAATATAAATAGATTTAATACGATAAGACTAAATAATTAACAATAATACTAAAGAACTGGTATTAATCCTGATACTGCTATAAGATATACAAGGATTATCCTCAGCCCATTCCATCCCAGGACGCCGTGCACTCCCCGCAGGGACAGCCAGTGTGGGACCCTGCGAGCGCTGCGGCTTCGGGAGGGAGGGAAGGGCTCTGGCATCGGGGCAAGGAGTTCTCTGCACCTGCCACCAGCAAGGGAGAGAGAGAGAACTATGCAGCAAACTTTTCTAATTTATATTGAATGTGCTGCTCCAGGATGCTCCTGCTTCCTGCAGTGAAAAATCCCTAATAAACGAGTGTTATTCCAAGCTGAGAGCATAGAGTACTTGGTCTTCAAGCCATGTTCCTATCTATTGGCAGAAGACAGTTTAAGATGGTGAAGCTGAATCCTGGGCTATTGTAGACCTCTGTGCTCTGCTGAGGCAGGAATGGATGTGGCTAATTGTGGCGTATGAAGAAATCACGGACTCGTAAGTCATGCAGTAAGCGAATCCAAAAATCCAATTCGACGATCTTTATTGCTACACAGAGAGACTTTTATACTCTAAGATAGAACCCTACTCCCCCCATAATGCCCAATCATGGACTTACAAAAATATTTTTTTACTTTCTACTGAGCTTATCACAATAACAATTATTCTCCTATCAAGACAGGTTTCGGTTCCCAGACTGTGCTCTGTTTTTCGTCAGGATGTGCTTCAGGATGCAAAACTTGTATTTCTCACTCCTCCCCTGCTCTCAAGGACACTACTGGCACACACTGTTGCTCCAGATGCAAGTAAATCTTAACTATGTGAGTGACCTTTCACTGAGCCCACAGCTAATGTCATTGCTGGAGAGACTTTTGCTTTCCTCCTAGGGACTAGCATCCTGGAAGTTGAATGCAGATGGGTGGGTGGACCCATGTCTAAGGTGCTGGTATACAGTTTATCTGGGGGATGGACCTGACAGTCACTGAACCTTTCAAGAGAGAGTCCTGTCTGGAACCATGGAGTATCTATGGAAATTAGTGTAAATGCTCCTTAAAACAAAGAACAAAATGCTCTGCTGGAACCAATAGCATGACACTGTGCTTTAGTAACCAACCTGCTTTTAAACTGGAGCAACTAAATGTGATTTAGTTGGAGGAGTCCTCAGCTGTAATTCTGATAAAACCACAGTGTGGTCATACTTGTGTTTACAAAGATCTCTGCCATTCAAAATGGTAGCCCAACTTGCTGTCCTGAGGGTCTGACCCCTTCTGCATTCAAGCTTTCCTCTGTGAAACTTTCACTGAGTCTTCCTGAAGCTTTGCCCACCTGAGCTGTCCTGATCCAATGCATGGGAGACACTCAGAGACTCCTTGGAGAGGAAACTCATGGTTTCATTTGTGTATTGAGACCCACAGTTTCTCCAGTGGAGTACATCCATTGTAGTGCTGAATCCTGGCTCTGAGTTCAGCACGCAAGGTTTTACAGATAAAAACTTTTCTTTCTCTCCCCAGGTGACGTGACAGCTGCCATCCCCCTTGCTGATGGATTTCTGTTTCTTGTCAGGATGTGTTTTTCATGCCATTAAACTAAAATATAACACTAAATACAAGCAATTACTAGGATACATGTACTTCGGAGAAAAGAACTCCCAGGGTGTGCATCCCAGATGCCTTGTGGAAGGGAAAACTAGCGAACCATGTTTTGTTAAGGAAAGAGTCCTCTTTGTTCATATATGTCCAGAAATGTTTTTAAACAGGAAGATGCAGAGTTCCCTGATTGAGTGCACAGTTGCTAGAATTAGGATTCTGAAAAGCTTTTTCTGTCCTCCTGTAAAACAAGTAGGTGCAAAGCGACCTGCTCTTCTATGCCTCTTTCTCATGAGGGACTCAGTGACAGCATCAAACTTCTGTTTATTAATTAACATTTCCTTGGCCTCTGCTGTTTGGACCAAAGCTACAGCTATATCATGTGAGTTTCTGCGAGGTGTGTATCACTTGTATATCACTTTTATGTATATCACTTCATCAGTCTTACACTGCAGGGGCCTGATCTCAGGGCTGCTTCTGGAACTGAAGTTCTCCTTAAATCACAAAGATCGTATTTCTCCTAACAAAATGTTGTGTGTATGTTAGTGCCAGCAAGAAATTTTGCGCTGCTTTGGCTTCTATCCAAGGAAACTGGTCTGTGGTTACCAGAAAAGGAGAAACTGGGCCTTGAGTGAAGATATGCTTTGGGAGCGTGCAGGAGAAACAGGGAATAGATCTTGTGCAGGTCTGCGTGAAGCTGATTTTGCTCTGATAACTCCCAATGAGCGTCATCTACTACTTTTAAATCAGGAAGCTCTGTCTGTTAAATGACTCAAGCCATACAGCTACCCAACTTTTCAACTTCATTGATAGGGCACCTCTGTCCCCTAAACAACAAATGTTTGTCAGGAAGCACAGAAGATGGCACAGGGGCTGCCTGTCTTCTGCACGGAGGGCTGTGAGAGGAGCGGAGATGTGCTGAACTGCTCCCAGTGTCTCAGCTACAGTGGAAAGCTCACTACCTGGCAGGGTTTCTCACGTTTCTTGCTCCTTTCCAATGGAGCTGCTCTCAAATGTGTGATCTGATTGTGTATGTGTGTGTCTGTGTATTTCTCACTCCCTCTGCCACACAGAATGATGCCAGACAACCCTGGCTCCCTCCCTCCCGACCACTAGCCCTTCACTTAGGAACTGTGCACTTCAGCTGGAACCAGCCACTTGAATGAGGTACCTCTTCCCAGAACTGTAGTTTTATGTGTTTCTGCTTTGTTCTTTGAAAATGCTTCCCCTAATTCTAGTTTCACGTTCTCCTTGCTGCTGAGTGACTTCAGATTTAAGCTGGCCAGGGTATTGCTGGTGTCTCCTCCCGGCAGGAGCCGTGGGATACTGCGCTCTTATTGCCAGTGCGCGAGCACCTTCCTCGGGTGAAATGTCTGGAATGTTAAAGGGAACTTTTAGTTCAAGTTTTCATTTAGAGTTTATTAATTTATGGAAGTAAATTCTATTTCATAGAATCATGTAGGTTGGAAAAGACCCTTAAGATCATGGAGTCCAATTTAAGCCTTTTCTTTGCTGTAAAACAAAAATATGAGACCTATGAGCATCTATTGAAATTCTGAAGTGATATAAAGCCCAGCAGAGTGATACATGAGCATCTTGCAAAATACAAGCAACCAGCATTGCTTGTGTTGAGCTTGTTCTTCAGGCTTTTTGTGAAAAATATTTAGTCTTGTCCAATGTGTAGTAGATTTATTTTATGTTATTTTATTTTTCCTACCTCTCTGGCTCCTCCCAATCAAATTACAAACTGAATTAGCTCAATAAAAAAAGACTTATCTGAGACTGCAACTTTTCTGCAGTTTTGACTTCGTCCCCGGAAAAGGCTATTGGTCTCAAGCTTTGCTTATTCATTTCAACAGTTGACTCAGTTGAGTAGCTGAGTAAGAAGTGTACTGTGTTGTTGTGGTTTTTGGTTTTTTGTCTTAGGTGCTTTTCTGCATTCTAAAAAACTTTTAATCTTAATGTTTGTTAGTTTGATTTAGCACATAGGTACATACTTTTATTTCTGGTTTGGGTTTTGTTTTTTTTTTTAATTGCATTTGTATGAATGTTCAAGGGGGCATACACTAGCAACATGAAGTAAAAATAATCCTACTAAGTCGAAGACACCCCAGCCACATTCAGATTTCTGATTTGTATCAGCTGATTGTATATTTACAGCTGATCTATATAATTACTTAAATACAC